GTTGTTGATGTTGATGTCGCTGCAAGGTGGTGTTGTTGTAGGTACGGTTGGAGTCATGATCCAGAGTCACCCATTCCTAAAGAAGCAGTGGTGGCTACGAACTGGGAAGAGGTGTATGAATACGTTAGAAGGATGGTGCCTCTAGCGGTCACTGTATCCTCCTCCACCTCTACTGCTCCTGCTAAACAGAATAACAGCAGTGATGAACTGGATGGAATCAGAGTACGTGCGTAAGTCACTGTGAACATGTGTGAGCACCCTGGGAGGTTTCTGATAGCTTACTGTTCATTTCCTTTCTCTGTTGATATCACTAAAGTCGGCAACATCATCAGTCTACTGCCGCTGATGTTGTCGCTATCTTGTAGCTTCACCGTTACTATTTATAGTTCCTCTCCCTCGAGAAATGAGTTCTGCTATTATATAGTAACTGTTGTGTTGGCTTAATGCTCTGGTCTTTCCCTTGGGTTGCTCAAGTTCATGTCGAGTAACGGAAGGATGACGGCAAGTGAAGTATCTGTTGGGGGCCTGCACGCTGAGTATGGGAGGCTGATCGAAGCCTTTTCGAATTGTTGTTCGCTATCTGTTAGTGGAGGAGATCTGGAGGTTAGAGGGAAAGTTCAGCCAGAGTTAGAGCTGGCACATTTCGCTGGTGGTTCTCGGCTGATCTGTTGTAAAGGGGAGATCCTTATATCAGGAGAGGCGACCACAGGTTGCCGGATCGAGGCTCGACCGGCCGCCCTGCACTTCTCGGGGGTCAGACCTCGTACACGATACAAGGAGAGGTTGCGTATAGTCAACACTGGCAGCCGCAGTATGAGGTATTAGAGGCCTCTCCTTCCTCTAGTCCTTGATTGTACCCTTAGACTGACAATAGTACCGCTGTCGAGCTCCTCCTGCATCCAGCTAGAGTTCACCAAGGTGGGGCTCTTGGCACCGGGCATGGCTCAAGACGTCGACGTGGTGGTCACTCCTGAGGACTATAAGTACAGCTTTGAGAGTATCAAAGTAATTGTGGTTGCTCATTGGACGTGTTGGAATTGTCATCAGATCATATGTGGTCCGACTGACGATTCAGAGAGGTATGGGTTGCAAGTCCCTGTACATGTCTATGCTAGTGGCAACAAACTCGTGGAGAAAACGCTGCCCCCGATAGTTGACTTCGGTGATGACGTGTGGATGACCTCGTGATGATGCTATTACGACGGTTAGGGAAGGTCCCTGTAGGGGAGGTGGCCGAGAGGCGCTTTATACTACGCTGTGATGTGCCTCTGGAGTTTGACTTTGAGGTTTTGCACTTGCGTCGGCATCCGGACATAGCAGTTGTGGTAGACAGGTGGGTTCCTCATGAGCGTGTTGGAATGTAAGAAGGGGAGGGCTTAGGACTAGCATAACCCCGGAGGTGCCAGCGGAGCTCCGTGTGGAGTATCGTCCGACTAGCTTCACAACGGCCGTGGCTGAGGTCGAGGTGGTACTGGCTCAGTTCGGAGGGGAACCTACTAGAAGGATGAAAGTGAGAGGGACGGGGAGGGGGGGGGACTCTAACATGGAGTAAATTTACGTTGGAAATGCTTTCGAGTCTTCCGCTAAGTGAACTTGTATTGAATATTGGAGTTTCACCCGTTTTTCGCGAAGTGAGATGTGAAGTGTGTTTTTCACATCACGGGTGAAACTCCATTATATGTAGTATATTTTCGCTTGGTCTTGACTCGTGGTTGATGTGAAGAAAGTTGTAGAGATCTTTGTATTGATCCATCCGGGGGAAGCGGATGGAAAGCTCGCGTGCAATCGCAAAGAGTGGGTAGGAGCAGTAACATATATGTATCTAGGAATTAATATTAGCGTCGGCTTGGAGGGATTTGACGCTCAGATCTGTGGTACATGTGTGCCTGGATTGAGGAAAGATAGAGAGAAAGCTAAGGGCTTGTTTGAAATAGAGAGGCGGAGGCAACAGGTGCATGATGCGTCTATAGTTAGAAGGGTGGGAAAACTGATGGAAAAATCGAAAAATCGTAAAGTCGCTCGAAAGACAGTTGTCAGGGGAACGACTCATAGACAGAGAGAGAGGACGGTTGGGGGAATTTACTTGCCAGAGGTCAACACTGGTGGAAAATTGACGCAAAATGAGACGGCGTATGTGCTGATGCAGAGGGCGGGAAAGGTGCCGCTGAGGCACTTGAGGAGGTACATCGAGCAGGTGAAGGGTGGGGAGGTGAAGGAGAGGGAGAGGAAAAGGAGGAAGGATCGGGCGATACGGAAGATGGGGGAAGTTCTGTGGCGTGCGGTAGTGTGCTGGTATTGGTCCGCTTGGAAGGATTCGTATGATGCTGCGAAGAGTGGGGCTAGGAGGGCGGCCAGGAGGGCTCTTGCTGAGGAGGTGAGAGAGAAGGCAGCGGCGGCGGCTTTGGTCGATGATGATGATGACAGTGAGGAAGAAGAGAGTGAGGGGGAAGTAGAAGCTGTGGTGGGAGTTGTTGCTGAGGCCACAACGGTGGGCCAAGAGGTTGATGATGACTATGAGAAGGACTCCAGAGTGGTCGAGGTGAGGAGGCTGATTGAGGAGAGGGGCGTTGGGCCGGTGGTAGAGCCGGAAGAGGAGGAGTCATCGAGTGAGGAGGAGGAGGGGGAGTACGAGTTGAGTGAGGACGCCAAGTTGTTGATAGAAATAGCGGAGCAATTGGAAAAGGAAAGGAAGGCTGAGGAAGTGGAGGCCTCTGAGGAAAGTGAGGAAGTCATTGAGGAACCCGTGGTTGAGGTGGAAGGTGAGCAGAAGCAAGAAGAGGAGGAGGAGGTGATAGTTGACATCGTGGAAGAGGACAGTGAAGAGGTACAAGTTGCAGTGGAGAGTGGCGAAGCTGTTGAGGAGACCGGTGGACGAACCTACTTGTTCCGGGAGCCGGTTAAGTACGACTTCACGCTGGGAAGAGGCATGCTCCCCACGTTGGCGTTTGGTGGGGCTCTATTAGCAGGAAGAACGGCCAGGAGGCCTCGTGTGTTAGAGGACTTTACTAAGTGGCTTTGCAGGGTTAGAGTGTTGGAGGATACGGTGGAGGAGAATGTGCTCAGTGATACGGACAGTGATGACGAGGAGGAGTCGTGGGAGGTCCCGTTGTGTGGGAGGGACGAAGCTATGGCGAGCTTTGGATTGGAGAACTTCAACACTGCAGGGGTTATCGAGGAAGACTGTGATGAGATAGGCCGAGTGCAGCAGGCCAATAGAGTGATAAGGAAAGCTTTAAAGCGAATGGGAGAGGAACTGAAGGTGTACAGTGTTGGGTAGTTTCCATCACAGCATGCGAATTCACAGGCTGTAGCTCCTGCATGATGTTGTTGAGTTTGTCATATAGGGGTCTTCGTATGAACCGCTGAGTTCTTGTGATAATGGTCACAGGAAAATTCAGTGGGGATGATAGACTCGTGCAGACCGTCCCGTTTCGGATCAGCTACGGTGGAGTGGACTACTAGCAGGATCCATGAGAAGGAGCTTGCATCAGGACTTGGGAACTGCCACTTACTCAAGAGCATTAAGAGCTCGCTGCTAGGCTGGGGAGTGTGGTAGATCAATGACGGAAAATGATCAGTGTTGCATCGTTGATACGTGGGATTTAACGTGTCGATGTAATAACGAGGCCGTGCCTTATGAACTACTATCGGATGATATAAGTCGTCGAACAAGTTCGGCCTAGTGACGGGTCTCAAGGTGGCGAATGGATTATGCAGTGGTTCATAATGCGGGAAGAGAGCTTCTTCTGCCCAGCTATGGTCGCGGAGTTGCTGGTGATACGTCACTCGCCACGAAAGTAGACTAAACCACAAGGGTCATGAACGTCGTCGTTTCAAGTAACCTTAGTGTTGGGTTGTTCGCATACCACTACTTGCCAACTTCCTAGTTATTATGTAACTACGAACGACAGTCACAGCGAGATGGTATTTGACATAAACGATATTCTATATTACGTAGTTACCATTGCCCTCATTATCTGGTACGTTAGCTCCATCTTGGTGTTGGTCGATGCCATTCCTCTTCTCAGGCTCTATCGCATCTTCTCCACCTCTCCTACTACTACAGGGGAAGTGCCGGCCAAAGAGGTCGCGGGGGTGGACGAAGCTGTTCCGGAGTCCTCTGGTCCAGTTCCTGTAGCGACTACAGGAGCTGCCGTGCATGAGGAATGCGCACAGGAACAGGGAGTAGAGGTACACCAGTGATTATATTCGCATATCGTCGTTATTGGTTATTGATATTTAGACGGACATTACCGAAAAAGAGGAAACCACCGACGAGACCCCTACAGTGGAATCAGTGCATCTGAATGTGGCCGCCGAAGCCGTCGCGGAGATTGTCGCAGCGGCAGTTCTAGTGAACGAGGTGACTAGGCGCAGCAGCAAGGAGGAGGAGAAGGATGCGATGGTGTCACCGACTGCCTTGCTCGGGCCGGCTGCTTCTGACACTAACGGGGTGAGCGTTGAAACGCGGCTCGAAAGCTAGCAGTACCTGTGTTATGCTCAGCATCGCAATATAGATGGTGACGTCTGTAGAAGCGAAGTTGGTCGAGAAAGAGAACCGCCGGGTTTCGAGGCTTGCAGGGTAGAGATCTGGTTGTCATCAGAGAGGACTATGTTGCCCTCAGCCCAATGCGAGACGGGTTGGAGGTCACAGCAATCAGCGTCAGGCCACAGCGAATGAGTTTGAAATCCAGCGAAGCATTCTTGCGGCTGCGAACTCCCGGTGATTTGTGTTCCCTCTGTTGAGTGTCGGAGATTCCGCATGTTTAGATCTATCAGCAGTCTCCTCCTGATCGTCGAGAAGCACCTCGATGAGCTCAACTCGGTGAACGTATCCACGTTAATACACCGTCTAGCTAGCATCACCCAAAACCAAGAACAGAATCAGAGAGTACTCGCCAACGACCCTAGAGTGAAAGAGGTCCTTCGCAGGGCTATTGACGTAACGAATCTCCACACACATTGAGATGGTCACGGTCACCCCGATATTGTTGTCAGTTGGCGCCGACCTCGAGCTGTCAGTCACTGTCCAACATTTGCTGGGCGATTGGTAAACTGCAGATGGTCGAGGAAAAGGATGTGGTCCGAGCCATCGTGGAGGCGGCGAAGTCACAACTAGAGTGAGAGCACTGCCACCTCTGAGGCTAGCCGGACTGCTCTCTACCGCTCAGTCACTTCCGTCCTCAAAATTTCTCTAATATGTTATATGGGTTATCACGGATTGGATATTGTGATAGAGAGCTGATGGACTTGGTAGCCGAAAAAGTGGCGAACACTCTATACACGTTCAAGCCGCAGGAGGTCTCTAACCTCCTCTATGCTTATGGCCGTCTCAACTGGTTAGTGCTGTCGCTTGTTGTTCATGCTGGAAAGGCGCTGCTTGATAGTTACAATGAGAAACTGCTGCAAGAGATATGTGCTTGTGTAGCGACTATGATGCCACGTTACGATGGTCAGGGGGTCGGCAATGTGATATGTTCCCTTGCCAAGCTGAAGTACCCCTGTATTCAGCTGATGGATGTGAGCAGACTAAGCCTTATTTTTTGCTTCGCTCCGCTGTGTTTGATGTTAATTTTTGATTACTGTTCTCAGGCGATTGCTGCTGATGTGGTGATGACCCCCTACAAGTATGGCAGATTCCTCATCTCGAAGGTTCTCCGTCCTCTGCACAGCCTTGGGTACACCAATCTGTCTATGTTGGTGACAGCAAGCAGGTAGAGGCAAAGATTATTATAGTGTCCTTAACTCAGTGTCTGTTAGTCACGTGCTGGACAACTCTGCGGCTGATGTACGAATTGATGATATCATCACTGTGATGCAAGGATTCGCCCAAGTGACCTGTCTGCTCCTATGCATATTATATTAGCGCAACTCATTGTCTCTCAGGAGAGCGTCAAAGCTCCGACTGCCAGCTCGGAAGGAACCATGCTGAAACCATCACCACGGAGTCTCGCCTCGACGTTCCCAGATTACGAAGGCGCTGGTCGACGAGTTGGTGCTCTCATGCAAGCCACAGCGATGAAGTTCTCGACAGTGGCCAAGCTAGAGGAGATCTCATTGGAGAAGATCGTAGGAAGTGCAGGCAGAGTGCAAGTGAATTGAAGTCGCTTTGTTGCAGGTGCAACTGTTCAATTTGATGGCTCGTCTTGGAATGAAGTCAAAACCAAACAATGGTGGCTTCCTATTGTCAGCCTGTGCCAGAATACTGCAGAATCTCGACACCATGAACGAGGAGCAAATAAAATCCATTGTAAGTTGCATGCCCGTTGTCAATGGATCTTCGCATTCGATTTTCTTGCCGATGTGGCAACCGTTTCGACTAGACCTAGAATTAGAATTCCCGATCCAGGAGGGATGTGTTGGTATGATTATTTCTGTGTCCTTTCTTCAGCTACGGTCCTGTGCGGCTATGGAGCTTGCTCTCACCAGCTTCGAGGAGAGGTTATTGAACGAGATCGTCGATCCCGATGACTCCTTCATTATGGGCGCCGCCTCGTCAACAGCGACTGGCTCGGTCTCCTGCAGTTCCCCCGAGTCCTTCGTTAACGCTCCAGCGGCTTCGGAGTCTATGCCTGTCGATCTCATCTCGGCCGATTGCGTACCCATGTTGCCCGAATCCGTGACTGAGTGCGGGTGGAGCCCCGAATCATTGGAATACCTTTTTGAGACCGACGCTGAACATCTCGCACACTATTACCATCATCAAAGCCGCGGTGACGTTCGTTGGTAACCGCTAGTTGATTCACGACCGCTGAGCTGTGACTTGAAATTTTCTAAAATAGTCAATGTATGAACACCTACGATGAATCCAATCTTTTTTCCAATTATTGTAGTAGTAGTAATGACACCTTCAACGTTTTTATTGAATCACCCTCTAAAGAACTGTCTATGTTTGGCTCTTTGATTAACACTGACGTACGGGAAATGCAGCCTTTGAATCCTTCACTCTTCTCAAGCATGATAAAGATAAGATAATAATCGTCGCCGGTTGGCTCCTTTGAATATGGTGCTTTTGTCTCATATTGCACTGTTGTCATTTAGCAAGATGAGTAGCACTATCTTTATAGTCCACCCATTTACTTAAGTCATGAATGCGTGTGATCCGT